GAGACGGGAGGGAACTCATCACCCCCAGGCCTGCCGGCAAAACCAGATTTTGACGGCTTTTCGGAAGGCCCGGAGAGAGGTGAGGGTCCGAATCCCTGCGGGGAGTTAAGAGAAGTAGTGGGCGCTAGTGCTATTTTATGCAGTTTGGGCAAATAAACACACAACAGTTTCTTCCAGGTAGTCCTTGACTTAACAACCATTCGTTTAGCGATGGTGAAAGTTGTAACATCACTGGGGGAAAAAAAGACTTTAAAATAGTCCTCAACGTTTAAGGTGTTGCCACAGCATCCCCAGAGACACAAGGTCAAAATGTGGACTCTTGGCAACTGGTATGTAGTTACAATGGTTACAGCATCTAAGACTCACGTGATTGTCATTCGTGACAGACAGCTTCCAATAAGCCAAGTCAAAGGTAGAAGCCAATTTACTTAATGGCTGCAAGATTCATTTAACAACCGCAGAAATTTTCTTAACAGCCATGGCCAAAAAGGTCATAAAATCAAGAACAGCTCACGTAACAACCACCTTGCTCAGCAACAGAAATTGTGTCCTCAATTGTGGTCATAAGTCAAGGATTACTTGTATTTTGAAACACACACTGGGTTGCTTATCTCTTCACAGTAGCTTCCACAAAACAATAAATGCAGTATAAATGGACAGATTGCCTGGGCATTTTGTTATTATCTTATATCTCTTGTACATCTAGTCAATGATAGGGTGAAAAAATCATTACCTTCTTCAGAGACTTTTCTCTTGACTCTCAGTGGTATCGGGTCTGTGATAACATCTGTAAGCATCTCTTTTAAAAAAGACAGTAAATATTTATTGGCAACGTGCTATTAAAATTTGGGGTGCAAGATGGATAAATTGGATGAAGAGTGGGAAGTAGAGGAGAGGGGTAAGTGTAGAAGAGAGGGATAGAGAGGGCAAGGGGGGGAAGAGGAGAGAAAGGAGGAGTGGAAAGGGGAGAGAGGAAGGGGAAGTAGAGAAGGGAAGGATGACAGAGGGAAGAAAGGAGGTAGGGAGGGGGAGGAGAGAGGGAGAAGAAGATGATGGATAAGGTACAAATATGGTGTATGGAGAGCAGAAGAGCCAATAATTGTTTTTGGGAGGTGATGGTAAGGTGAACTGATGTAAACATTTAATAATACAATATGATGTTGGCTATGTAATAGTATACATGTGATAATATGAAAATGGAAAAATATAAAATTTTATTTAAAAAAAGATGGATTCATTTGTTCATAGGTTAATCTAACTGCCTTAGTTTACACTTCTGGAGCTAAAATAAGTAGAAACACAGCTACAATTTGTTCTGTTTGTTTTAAATTTCTCTAAATTTCTTCAGTGATAATTGCCTGGGTCATCAACACAGATACAGAGCTGCATGCAAAGGTTTAGATACCGTTGGTCAAATCTTTTCTTCTTTCAGTGAAAGTCTATGTAATATACCCTGGATACCTTTCCACTTGATTAACTCCTGCTAATAAGACACCTCCCCCCCCCCCCCGGCGATCTTCATTCATCAATGTGTGGTAAATACTATTTCAGTGATGAATGAATGCTCTCATCTTTTAACCTCTCAGTCTATGATTTTCTGTATACTTTCAAGAGCCATGGGTTTCTCCAAGCAGCTTCTCTGAGCATTTGAAAATTAGAATTACATACTCAAGAAGCGTATATGGAATTTCATTTGGCATGAAAAAAAACTCCCATGTCCTTACAATAGGTAGAGAACTTGGGAAGGGCATATTGCATCCCTCAAAAAGGTAGCAGTGTGCAATCTGTGGCAATTCTAGACAGTGCCCATCAAAAAGAGGCATGGATCAGATCCTTTCAAACAAATCTTATTTCATTCTTTGACCAAGTGCCTCAATTAGTGGATTAGTGAAATGCAGTGGATATAGTATATACTTAGATTTCAGCAAAGCATTTGACAAAGTAGACACAACTTATTTCTTGGTAGGCTAAAAAAAAATGTGGGATACCCAGCATCCCCATCAGATGGATTTGTAACTGGCTGACAAATCACACTCAATGTATGGTCCTCAGTAAAAATACATATACATGGAAAGAAGGAAGCAGTGGGATACCCAAGGTTTTAAGCCCAGTGCTCTTCAACATCTTCAGAAATGATTTAGAGGAGGGAATTGAAGGGGAACTCAATAAAAATGGCAAACAACACTAAGCTGGCAGGAATAGCCAACACTCCAGAAGATAGGCTCAAGATCCAGATAGGCCCTATCTAACAAAATGAAATTCAGTGTAGAGAAAAGCAAGGTTTTATATTAGGCAAGAAAAGTGAAATGTACAGGTGTAAATTAGGTGAAACCTGGCTCAATAGCAGTAACTGTGAGAGGGATCTTGGAGTCCTAGTGGACAATCACTTAAATATGAGCCAGCAGTGCGTAGCAGCAGCCAACAAAGCCAATGCAATCCTAGATTGCGTTAACATAGTGATTGAATCAAAATCATGTGAAATATTAGCACCGCTTTATAAAGCCTTAGTAAGGCCACACTTAGAATACTGTATCCAGTTTTAGTCACTATATTTTAAAAAAAATGATGTGGAAACTCTAGAAATAGTGCAGAAAAGAGCAACAAAGATGATTAGGGGGCTGGAGGCTAAAACATGAATGACTGCAAGAATTAGGTTTATCTAGTAAAAGATTAGGTTGACTGCAGTGGTCCAATATTTGAAGGGCTGCCACAAAGAAGAGGGGATCAACCTATTTTTCAAAGCACTAGAAGGCAAGGCAAAAAAAATAAAAACCCAACCAATGGTTGAAAACCAATCGAGGAGAGAAGCAGCCTAGAACTAAGGTGAAATTTCCAACAGTAAGAACAATTAACCAGTAGAACATCTTGCCTTCAGAAGTTATGGATGGTCCATCCCTGGAGGCTTTTAAGAAGAGACTGGCCAGCCACTTGTCTGGGATGGCATAGGGTCTCCTGCTTGTGCAGGGGATTGGACTAGAAGATCTCCAAGATCCCTTCCAACTCTGTTATTATGTTGTCTGAAAAGCTAATCTCAAGGGTTTAACCAACTGCTTTCCATAGCTAGGGCCTCTTACACCGTGACCCGTCAAAACCGCGGTCCACAAAAGCGCGCTCGACGAAAGCGCGCATTTGATGTCATCACAGCGCGACGAAAAAAATTAAAAATTG